CGTCATCATCGCAGACTCAGCCGACCGCCTCCTCTACTACGACACAAAACTGCTCTTGATGCTGATTCTACCGCGCCAGGTGCAGCCAACAGGCAGGCACGCCCCCCTTCCATTACGGACACGTTTCGTTCTTTTTCTCTGCTGTGCGCCGCCCCCGCATGCAGATGGGTACTAATACTGCAGCATCTGGACATCTAACTCGTCTTCGCATCTGGTTCATTTGTAATTATTGCAATCTATTTGTTTACGCCGAGAATGTGTGTATTCGATTTTGCAACCTCAATATGGGGTTGGTTTCAACGCAATACCATGAACCCTCTTTAATCTCAAGCAGTCGCTAGAAACATGTTCCGGCTGCAAATCCTAGTGCTGCACATTTTGTGCACTAGTCATCCCGTCCTGTCTGGATGGCCCACAACACTTCGTATGATGTAGCATATATCCTTAAGCATTCACCTTTCTTCGTCGCCACTCTTCATTGCGGTTTCATTTTGGATGCCGACGGATGCGTGAACAGTTTACATAAATATTGTATTGAGACGACACGGATAACTTTTCCATAGTCTCAACCATTCTCAACTACACGCTCATCCACGGTTTTATCCCTCCTCTCACCAACCCACTCAACCTTGCAGACATGCGAGTGTTTTGTCAACCACTTTTGGTTAGCCTTTTTGTTCAAGCCCTAATTAAGCCTACTTACCTTTGAATTCGACTTGAATGTTCCAACCTTTGATTGATTCTGACGCCAAGCGCTGAGGTTCAAAAAACATTAAGCTTCATCGCCAGAGTTTGAAAGATCGAGAGTGATGTGAGAACTATCGTGTATACACCGTTAGTTGCTCTCTAGGACAACTGCTGCGAAGCTGATGTACGACCAGGGTAAAACAGCACATTTATAACACAAATTCACTGTGTTTCATCGTTCTTGGGTTCCCATATTGACCAACTTGGATGCGAAAATACACGGATGTAGTTTTGCAGTGGATAGATCCTTGTTCTCGGGATATAGCCACTCGAGTCTGCTGGAGAGGAATAAATATAGCTGCTGATTGCTTCTGCACAAGGACTAAAGGAATAACTGCATTCAGTTTGACTTGAACACTACTCCTTCCCGGGATTCAACCTGACGGCCTTGGTTGGCTGCGATTCAGTATACTTTACCCTCCACTTGAGTGACCTGGACATCTTGCTGGATGCAGGAGGTTCGGGCGGTACTATTCGGACGACCACCCTTGACATGCGTGATCATTCACCTATCAGCTTATCATACCTTCTCATACTCAGTCAAAATGACCTCGTTGGGAACGTCCGGTGTATGCTGAAGTTCGAACATAGGTCGGGAGAAACGTGCGGAGTGAGGAGGAGCGCAGGATGCTGTCAAATGATTGTCATAACCATCAATATGGACCTTATGTCTAGGAAGACGCGCATAGCGCCGGTCGCAAACATTAGCGCTTTGTCTACACAGCAAGTTCATTTCTGTGAAGCGAATACGAGGATAACGCATGGGATACAGCTTTAGAAGTGGCATGGAATAACCGCCCAAATTCCGCAACTCCCAACCAGACATCCATTAATCTCTGTTGATCGACTCGTCTGAAAGGTACTTCCAGTGAGTGGATCTCTAGGCTCATCTGCCAGTAAAAGCTGACGACTTGTTTACCAGCGACTTCAGATATCCATAAAGATTTCTTGCGCATTCTCGAATTTCGCAGCACCTGCATACGTTATCCGTCTTGTTGGTGAGGACTGAATTCAGTGAGCATATTATCTCATAAGCAATGGCTTGTGTGGTTCTGATAAATATCAAATTAAAGGGGCAAAAGATAGGCCCCTGGACGCATCCACCAGCAACCATTGCCGTTGCCACAAAACGTGGTCGGTTTCTAAGATCCCGGCAGGCTTCTCTCGTATATACAGTCCGCGATCTGCCATAGTTGAGCCTCCGAGCACTAACTATGTCTTCATCCACCAGTAAGATGGCAGCGATCACGCCGCGCCAGACGATTCGAGGTCATACCAAGTGGGTAAATGGTGTTGTACACTTGCCTGGCAAACGACACATCATCACATGTTCGTGGGACGGCTCACTCCGACTATGGGACCTAGAGAGCGGTGCACAGATAGGTGAAGACTGGCGGGACGGGGAAAACACAATGTGGTCTATGGCATTGTCTCCAAATGGTAAGACAATTGCAAGCGCAGGCGGTGATTACGATGTGAGGTTGTGGGATGTCAAGACGAGGAAGGTCATTTCAAAATGGACCGGACACACCCATGTTGTGCGCGCATTGTGCTGGAGTGCAAATGGAGAGCAAATAGCGAGTGGATCCTGGGATGGTATGGCAAGAGTCAGGGATGTCAACAGCGGCAAAACTGTCCTGACAATCAAAACCGGGCACACATGGGTGTATGCGGTGATGTACTCACCTGACTCGTCAAAACTTGCGACGGGCGGAGACAAATCTATTAAAGAGGACGCAGCTGTAAAAATCTGGGATGCAGAGACGGGCGAGCGTCTTAACACACTCAAACACGACATCACAGTTTGCAGCTTGGCATGGACGTCAGATGGGAAGAAGCTTATCTCCGGTTCATATGGCCCGATTAGGATATTCGACATCGTAAGGCCGCGGACGCGCCAGTTCCCGACTTCTCCGACCGCATAATCAGTTGCGGGTCACGTGTTCATTCCAATATCTCGACAGTAGCATATTTACTAAGGACTACGATTTACTGTTGGATGCAGAGGAGACGGCTGACGGATCGGAGACTTGAGGACGGAACGGAATGCAAGGTACGAGCGCTGTCAAGCTCACTCGGCCGAGGCAAGTAGTCTTAGAATCATAACGACTTTTATTCCTATTCCACCCATATGTTAAAAAACTGCCCCCCCGCATGTACGAGCATCTCAGTCCCTTTGAACCGACTGAGATGTGAGTACTGAGCTCGTTATACCTTATCCCACCAATGCTGATAGCAACATTTAGTTATATTGTTCACTAGGTACCTATCTAATATCAGTCCCTTTGAACCAACTGAGATTTATATTGTTCACTAGCTCTCTTCTCGTCTGCTCAGTTCCTCTCAGTCCGAGATTGACATCCTTTCTTTGCAATTGGTCTTACTTATACTCTGTCCACACAGATCTATATCAGGTAGCCCCAGAGGCGCGCATTAGGAGCTCCATTATGATTCCACTGTCAGAATCGTAAGGCAAATGGTCGACTTTTGTTGCCTCTTCTACGAGGTATGTGGCCAAAGGCTCGCATTTCACAAAGACGATACTGATGGAGACATCATTGGCGGCTTGATCATAGCTGTGTTAAGTGTCAGTAGGGATCCTCATGTCAACCCAGTATTGTACCTTGGAGCAACAAAGGTTTCGAATGGATGGTCTCAGAAGCCATCCTCACAGGTGCATCGGGTATGGTATGGAAATGCCCAGCGATGATCTCTCTGGCTGACCGAATGTGAAACACAGGCTTGACGTCGCTGAAGCGTTTGACTACAGGTGGATGAGTATTTAAACATGTAAGAGCTGTAATGATTTCACCGAAAATGAATGAGCCTTTACCTCCCATTTGTTTGAGCAAATCTTGAACCATTGAGGAGAGCATGATGGTGCACAAATGCTCTTATGGTGGCACTCTGAAATGATGTATGTATTGTGGTCAGCTGACAAAAGCTTTGCTGTCTCCCCTCAATATTTATCAGCATCGTGATGCCAAGTCCCCCTTGTCTGACCGAGACTGTGCTGTTGATGTGAAACAGAATTATATGAACTCGCCTCCTTTACATCGCACATCTTTGCCCAATGTCATAGCCACAGTCAATTCTTCATAACACATTTGACATGCAGACAGAATATTCCATAACCCGACGCAATGTGCATGGTAAGAGTCTAACAAAGAAACTAGGAACAGGATAAGCACATTCAATTTTCTGTAATGCATCTGAAATGCAGAACACAGATCCCACAACGACATGATCTACAAGTGAAGACTCAGGCATCAAAAGTGGCCAAATAATAAGAATCAAACAACAACCCATCCTTTTCTCGAACACTTTGGGTCAAGGCGAGGGACCGGATCAGTCTTCGGCAACCTGCATGCCGTGCGATTCCCTGCACTCCTCATCGCTTTTGCTGTCTGTGTCATCATCATCGGTCTCGCATTCATTCGCCATCTTTTTGCATGGGAGGCAACCCTCACCTTCATCAGAGGCTTTTCATTTCCCTTTCTTGTCTGACATCGTTTTGAGCGAGGTTGCTGTGATGGATGCATTGGGGAGTAGTTTCATGGATTTAAGCATCACATGGTACCTCCTGGATCCGATTTTATCATCTGGAGACGCAGTCTCACACCTGTTAGGCCCAATCGTCCACCTGTATAACAACTAGTTAATTCTGCTGACAACCAAGGTAATCTGATCGCTTACAATTTAAGTTGGCACTCAATCATGACAACATCACCAGTGGTGAGCTTGGTGCGATACTCGTGTGGCTTGATCAGCTCTCCTTTGCCATCATGCACCACAGGTGAGACCACGACAGTGTTCCTCAGGTTATTCTGCGCGATCAAACCAGCATAGCGTCCTAGTGGGTCCGGAAGACGACACAAGCTGTCTTCACCTGTCACTGTATGACTCATGACATGCTCTGTCATTCTACAAGTGCAGACGTACCTGCGTCTGCTGTTGAAGAACCTTCTCCTCTGCCACCCGGCGCTCCACCGGCAATTGCAGCTGCTTTAGCTTTCGCTATTGCCTCCATATGTCAGGAATCCACTAGGGACATGTCATAGGTGCTGAAGACTTACACGGGCTCTGCATAGTATCCCCTTCTGAAAGTAGTTTTGTATATCAGTTCATGTGTCACGAAATGTAGAACAAGCCACCTACTGCCTATGTCGCATCGCCTCAGTCGGGGGACAGAAGAATGTGTGGGATTGGGTATGTTCTCTACCAAGAGGTCTGTTGTCAGTACCACTGAGAATCTCTCGTGCTCGCCCTCACTGAAGCTTCGCCAGAATGGTACATCTCGTGGATACACAGCTTTGGATGGCAACACTGTCGATATGTGATTGTTCAGGTGATATGACCTGTCTCGAAAATATACTTATGGGCGTTTCTGGCCTCTTCCGCTTCTCCGTGCAACACATTTAACATGTCGATGGCTGCAGCACTGCATCTGATGGTGTCACGAGTTCCAAATACACATCATTATTCTTTCCTGAATACTCGTAAGACGACATTCAATAAGCGCCCATCACAAATGCCCAAATCAGCGTCTATACCTATAACCTTCGCAAACCCTAACCTGAACTTCTCTATTCCATTAGCGCCCACTACTTCTATTTTTGATATTCCTGATTACAACTTTCTTTCACAAGCGATCAAGTCACGTGACACTAGAATCATCTAGAACCTTTCCACAGTAACCACGTGTTTCATGACATCATAGGTGTAGTTATATTTAAATCATCGTACGATTCCTTTTCTATTTAATGATTGGCTAGTTACTTCATACTCAGATTCAGTCTCTGTCTCAATATATGTATATAGGTAGTTCCTTGTAGTCAGTAGTTCTTCAGTTCAAAGCTCTTGTGTATTAGCTCATTGCTAGCAATCCAGGACGTACCTGCTATTCTCTATCCTCTTGTTGTGATATCCTTTGTTTGAGTCCTAGTCTCTGCCCCTGCGTTAATTCATTATAAGGGTTGTGACATTAGGTTTGAACTATAGGGGACTCCGACTCTACGCATTACCGCTTGCACCTTTTTCTCTTTGATCTGAGCATCTTGCGATAGTTCGTGATCCTCAATCAAACAGAACCGTTACACGTTTTACATTGCCCGGCTTAACAGCTGTGACCCTTGATTCTATCACTCTCCCCTTTGCTCATTTGAGCGCATTCATACCTATCCGCTTTTGTAGTTAGTAGTCCTATACCAGGCCCTGCCTTACACTGCAGCCACCAGTATACGGAGGTGTTCACAACATTAGGCGTGTCACTACAACTTTGAGTGCTGGCCCAAAACCCTGCCTGCTCAACGTTACTATAATTTCCTTTTTACCTATCACCTTTTCTTCATAGGATACGTAGGCTACTCCATTCAAGTATTTAGAGGAATTTCCTAGTCCAGACTTGGTGTTATGAACTAGGATGGTTCTGACGTATGGCTACTCGATAAGAGTAATCGGCCAAGGTCGGTTCAAGGCTTCGGCGTATACCGAAGTTTCAAGGTTCTTTTAAGACAAGGCAAGGAGAGTGTCCTTGACTTGAATCACGTTCAATACGACTTAAGATTGGAGGTCTTAAACGAAGGAAGTTCCAGGTAAAACCTAGTAAGATTAAAGTAAAGAACTACATAGTACAGGACGAGTTTATATAGTGAATGGTAACGACTTTAGGGCCGGTACAATGAGATCATAGAGACGAGTCAGAGATAACAAGAATAGATCATCTAGCGACGGCAAGATGCGATCGTGATGTAATACAATGATGTAAGAGAAAGAAAATGAATAGGGGCGTACTTGACTGTAACATTACCCCGTTGTTATCGTTGAAGTCACCGATTTCAACAATCAAAGTTATCGTAAGCGTCATAGTTGTCACGATCACCTGCGCATTGAACGAACATTCTCTCATCTTCTTCGATAGAGATCTGTTCCAAGGCGGCGTCCTTGTCAGCCTCCCATTTAGTGAGAGCCTCATATAAACCTTCATCTGTCCATACCAATGGGATAGGTTTCGCGCCTTTAAGGTCTTTACAAAAGACCGAAAGATGCCCTGGTGCGAGGTTACGACATACGCGGCAGAAATACGTTGGGCAGTTCTTGTGGCGATGACCGAATTCCTTACAGTAGCGACATTTGAAATTGTCAATGGGGTCGGTTTTCACGATGGTGATGGAGGACGATTGCGGGGGCGGGGATGGTGTTTTGGAGCGTAAAGGAAAATGAATAGGGGCGTACTTGACTGTAACACTTGGTCACTTGTAAGCTTCGGCTGGAAGAGCACCTTGGCATTCTAGTTTTCCCACTTGAAGAGTATAGTTGTTATGTACAAAACTCTTTTAGTCAGTATCTAGGGAAGAGTCAGTTGGGTTTTACCATGACCCTTTGACCCTGAAGTACGAGGTAGATCCGATCAGATATCGGGGACTGCTTCAGTTTTCCATTCTTATGTATTCCCTTTTTCATTCTCCTTTTCATCATCTTTCCTTTCCGGAAGAGTCGTTACAACCAACTCTTCACAAAGACATCAGTAAATCGGGTTCCAGAAAACAACTGGTACTATGTCTGAACCATCCCCACCCACTGGCCCAAGGATGCCAGCTAACATCAAGGAGTTTGTGCAATACATGCAAGAACAGATTGCTACAAACAATTTGTTATGGCAAGAACAAATCGGAATCTTGCAAAACAAGAATAATGAGCTAACAACAAAAAACGAAGATCTAGCTCTACGTATTCAGATGCAACAAGCCAAAATTGCGAAACTCTCCGTGGCACCATCCCTTGGAACATCCGCCGCCTCTACCACAGCCTCAATCAAGATGGCTAAACCCATGGAATTTACAGGTGACAAAGATTCCATCGATGCCAAGATGTGGGCAACACAAGTAGCGCTCTATATGACGCAGTGGCCCAGTATCACAGAAAGGCAAAGAATCTCGGTTATGCTTTCGTTCATGAAAGGATCTGCTGCTAAATGGGCGCAATCTTATATTGAAGAACATGCTGATGGAACTCTAACCATGAAGAAGTTAGATGAAGATTTCACCACTATGTGGGCTCAAGACGATCTTGAAGGAAAGGCAGTTCAAGAATTAGATTCCTTAAGACAAGGATCTTCTTCTGTTCCAGAGTATACAGCTACTTTTAGGCAAAAAGCTGCACACACCAAATTCTCCAATTACAACCAACACCAGAAGTACAGAGCAGGACTTCAAGACCATATCAAACTACAACTCGCACACATCGCCTACAAAGACAAGGACAACATGCAAAAATTAATAGAGCATGCAATCCAAATAGGACGAAACTTTGAAGAGTTAGATGTGGAGAAGAAGAAGACTTCCTTTTGGACCCCTAACAGGGCTGCAAGAAACTTCAAAACAAGGGCTAGTCCCAGTTGAGACAGTAACACCATGGATGTCGATGCCAACAAACAGAGAGGAACTCCCAAACCTCAAGGAAAGACTGGTTCTTTCAACTGTTACCATTGTGGTGAAGAAGGCCATATGGCAAGAAACTGCAAGAGCGCTCCCAAAGCACAAGTGAAGGCTACTGAAGTGCCAAAGGAAGACTCAATGCCCCAATGGTTTAAAGATTACGTTAAAGCCAAAGGAGACAAGGGTTTTTAGAGAGGTCTGAGCTAGAGTCTGCGGACTTAGACCTGAACAATCGTTTCTCAATCTTATCTATGTTCTCGGATGTAACAGAAGTATATTTGCGATCGAAATCAGAGCATTTTTACATTCTGATTACCTTGAAAGGAAAGAATCGACAAGCAGACATGAAAGCACTTGTGGACTGCAGTGCATCAACACTATTTATAAACGAGAAATTTGTGAAAAAGAACGAAGTAATATGCTGTAAATTATTAAGGCCTATTCCGGTTAAAAATATAGATGGCTCGTTAAATGCCGCTGGATCAATGACTCATTTCGCTGAATTAGGTCTAAAGATCGGTAATCATGTAGAGGATAAAGCAGCCTTCATGATCACAGACTTAGGAAGCGATGATGTTATTATCGGCATTGACTGGCTAAGGTATCATAATCCAGAAATAGACTGGAATGCAGGACAATTTTCGTTATCTAGATGTCCACTTAAATGTATTACGAAAAAAGAACAAAGACAAAAATAGAGAAAATAGAAAAACACAAAAACAGACAGATACGCTTCCAGATCTGATTCCCACAGAAGAGGATGACGATGAAGACATGGACATGAAGAAGGCAACGTGTGAAGAGGTAGAAGATGAAGAAAGTCCTGAAAAGATGGATTAGATACAAAGCCTCGGTTGCCACGGAACAGAAGGTAGCAGAAGAAGCTACAAAGAAAAAGAAGTCTGTAGAAAGAAATGGTTCCAGACTCGCTTCACGATTACCTGGGAGTGTTTTCAGAAGAAGAGTCGAAATGTTTTCCTGAAAGAAAGAAATGGGGATCACACGGTAGACCTTAAGGATGACAATGATCTTCCTCCGAATGCGAAACCTTATCCCTTGTCACCAAAAGAGATGGTCACTTTGAAAGACTGGT